GCTCCCGGGTGGCCCCCTCCTACCCCCCCATCCCACCTCTCTATTCTCCTACTCACCCCTACCCTTTCCACGATACCTTCCGCCTCCTTCCCCTCAGCCTGCCTTCAATCCATCCTTTCCTTCCCTTTCCCTGCCTTCCCCCCAGCTCCCATCCCCTGCTGTCCCGCACACCCCGACCTCTCCCCCCTGCCCTCTGTCCATGTCACCTTCCCCTCAACCACCCCTCTGCTGCCCCTTTCCCGTTCTCCATGCTCCGCTCTCCTCCTTTCCCCGCAGCCACGGGGCGCCGGGCAATAATAAAGCCCAGAGGGCCGGAGCCCGGCGCCCCCCGCTGGGGTCCCCACACGGGGCCGGAGCCGCTCTGCGGGTCCCCCCAGGAAAGAGGGAGGGGAAGGGAAAGGCCGGGATGGCGGAAGAGGGACCGTAGACAGAGGAGGGACAGAGGGGAATAGAAGGGAGTAGCGGGCTAGGGACAGCACAGGAATGAGTCGGGGGAGGTCGGGTTTGGGGGAAGAGGAGGGGAGGCTTTAGGGGAGAAAGAACAGGAATACGGGGAGGGGGAAGAAAAGGGGTAAAGGGGTTGGGGGAGGCCGAAAATGGCGAGAAAGGAGTCGGCTTTGGGGAGGAGAGACAAAGGTGGGAAAGGCACAGAACGAAGGGGTTATAGAGAAGGCAGAAAAGAAGGAGAAGAGAAAGAAGGAAGGGTAGAGGCGGGGACAGCAGGGGAGGCCGAAGCGCCTCCTGGACCGGGCTGCGGAGCCCGGACACAAAGCGGCCCTCCGCAAGCTGCTCAGAGTGAGCAAATGGCGGCCGAGCGCCTTTTCGGGAGTTAAATAACCTCGGCCCCGCCCCGCGCAGCCGCCCTGGGGCCCCGCGCACCTGAGCCCGCCCCGGGCCCCGCCCCACAGGGCTCTTCGGCTCACTTCGGCTGCACTCGGCTAAACTCGGATTGGTTCGGCTGTACTCGGCTATACTCGGATTGGTTCGGCTATAATCGGCTATACTCGGCTATAATCGGCTCTTCGGCCACACTCGGCTACTGTCGGCTCACGGCTGAACTCGACTATTTCCGGCCGCAGTCGTCTGGATTCGGCACTTGGGCGCAGCTCGGCTCGGTTGGGCCGAGCTCGGTGCCCTCGCTGCGTTCGGCTCCCTCAGTTAATTACTACTCAATAGTTATTTTTGTAATTAATTATTCTTGAGACCATCATTCATGTTATTGATTTACTACTGCAGGTATAATTGTGTCAATATTATCCAAGAGGTCACCACTAATTCTTAATTATCTACTACTTTACAATTAATTTTATAATTAATGAGTAATTATAACTCATTATGTCATGAATAATTAAAAATTCCTTAATTGTAAAATTATTACGTAAATAATAATTAATAATGACAATAATGATTAATAAATAATAGCCGAGTGCAGCCCGTAAATGCCGGCGGGTCCGCGCCCGCTCCGCTCTCTGCGGTGGGGGCTCGGCTCGGCGCGGCTCGGCTCGGCTCGGTTGTGGCCGTCTGCAATGGAAAATCCCCTGGGTTTAAAATGCCAAGGGAAATTGTTTCCTCTTTATTTCCAGAGCACAGAAGATTCTGAGTTGGAAAGACCCCCGAGGATGATCAGGTCAGATGATGCCACGTGACTGGCCTACCTGGGGACTGAACTCAGAATATTCATATTCTCAACTCCCGAGCAAATGTTGGCATCATGAGAAACAGCTGGGGATGGCTGCTGCTGCTTTTCTGCTCATGCTGTTTTACACAGCAGCCCCTTGGACAGCCCTCAGGCAGGAATGGCTGGCACCCGACACGACAGCGTCAAACTTCTCCAATAACCTGGAATTCCTGTCCTCTCCAGCATTTCCCCAATGGCTCGGAAGATGCCAGGGAGAAGTGAGCAAAACAAGTCCTGAGCTTTCACTTGGTCCGTGGCAATCCCAACTGAGAAATACATGATTGTCATCAAAAACTTAAGATCTGTTAGAAGTTCAATGACAACACTGGGATGGGATTCCCAGAAACCTTCTTAATATTCTTGGCTCCATTTTTATAATTTTTAGTCTCTCCACTGGCAGCTTGTAGAATTTATCCCAGGATTTGGAGGTGAAGCAAGGTTGGCTTTGGATTGACTTTCACCTCTGGCCCTAATTTCCCTCAAAAACATCCCCTACATATTCCATGTAGATTAACTCTTTACCCCAAAATTGCCCTACCTGTCCACGACCAGTGATTTTATTTTCTCCTCAAAATGTTCATTCTCCATCTTGGAGAAAACATCCATTTCTACACCCAAACTTTTTGCTCCATGTCCACAACTGATGACCTCAGTTTACCTCAGGATGTTAATTCCTGAACCTCCGGGGATTATTTCACTTTTCCTCCCCAAATTTACCCTGTCTTTCCACTTCTGATTTCCTCATTTTTACAAGAAAATATTAATCATCTATTCTAGGGACTATCTTCAGTTTTACAACCCAAGTTTTCCTTACCTTATTTTTACCCAAAAATACTCATTCTTAGATTTTTTCTAAAGTTTTATCCCCCAAAATTCCCCTACTTTTCCACCAATTCCCTCATTTTTACTTCAAAATATTTATTTAATACCACGGAGCTTTTCTCGAGATGTACTCTCACAATTTTCCCTACTTGTCCATACTCATTGCCTCATTTTTCCCATTTTTCATTTTCTTCTCCAGAGAAGGATGGAGGCTGCCCTCGGAGGGAACCAGCCTGGTGGGACCCAGCTCTGGCACCCCGTTTCCTCTGGTTGCTGCTGTCTGGAAAGCCACAGGTAATTCCAGCCCCTCGTGGCATCTGTTTGGCCGCCTGACCCAATTCCAACCCAGACCCCAGCATCTCACACAATTTTCTGCAGCACTAGGGTCAGGGAGAGAGAAGGAAATCACTTGTTTGACCTTGAGGTGTATCCAGGCAGACGAGGGATGTGTCTTGCCCCTCGGAAGCACTGCAGGCACACGGAGCAGCTCAGCACCGCCCAGCTCTGAGAAATGACAGTGTCTGAGGGGTCTGAGTGCCCATGGCAGCTCTCGTGTCCCTGGGTGCCAAAGATTCAGTGCTACAGTCCCGACTGATGAGGGAAGAAAGGAACTTCCATTACTGCCAGCAAAGCTTCTTTTACTCCTGCAGGCTCTCAGTTCAGCGGCCTGGGTGACTGTCTGGTGCCTTCCTAACAAGACTTGTCAGAGATTTAGAGATGGAATTTGGGTCAGTTCACGACGAAACCTTGGCAAGCCTGAAGGCCTGAGGTGATGACTGCCCTCAGCAGGGGCACTTTATTAATGCTCTGTCAGCCTGCCCTCAGCACCGGGCACAGGGCGGAGCTGGGCATCGGGAATTCTGCAAGCAGGGCCTGGGGGGGTGTGTGTGTGTGTGTGTGTGTGTGTGCCCTGTGTGTGTGTGTCTGTGTGTGTGTGTCTCTGTGTGTGTGTGTATGTGTGCCCTGTGTGTGTGTGTGTGTGCCGTGTGTGTGTGTGTGTGCCCTGTGTGTGTGTGTCTGTGTGTGTGTGTCTCTGTGTGTGTGTGTATGTGTGCCCTGTGTGTGTGTGTGTGTGCCGTGTGTGTGTGTGTGTGCCCTGTGTGTGTGTGTCTGTGTGTGTGTGTCTCTGTGTGTGTGTGTATGTGTGCCCTGTGTGTGTGTGTGTGTGCCGTGTGTGTGTGTGTGTGCCCTGTGTGTGTGTGTCTGTGTGTGTGTGTCTCTGTGTGTGTGTGTATGTGTGCCCTGTGTGTGTGTGTGTGTGCCGTGTGTGTGTGTGTGTGCCCTGTGTGTGTGTGTCTGTGTGTGTGTGTCTCTGTGTGTGTGTGTATGTGTGCCCTGTGTGTGTGTGTGTGTGCCGTGTGTGTGTGTGTGTGCCCTGTGTGTGTGTGTCTGTGTGTGTGTGTCTCTGTGTGTGTGTGTATGTGTGCCCTGTGTGTGTGTGTGTGTGCCGTGTGTGTGTGTGTGTGCCCTGTGTGTGTGTGTCTGTGTGTGTGTGTCTCTGTGTGTGTGTGTATGTGTGCCCTGTGTGTGTGTGTGTGTGCCGTGTGTGTGTGTGTGTGCCCTGTGTGTGTGTGTCTGTGTGTGTGTGTCTCTGTGTGTGTGTGTATGTGTGCCCTGTGTGTGTGTGTGTGTGCCGTGTGTGTGTGTGTGTGCCCTGTGTGTGTGTGTCTGTGTGTGTGTGTCTCTGTGTGTGTGTGTATGTGTGCCCTGTGTGTGTGTGTGTGTGCCGTGTGTGTGTGTGTGTGCCCTGTGTGTGTGTGTCTGTGTGTGTGTGTCTCTGTGTGTGTGTGTATGTGTGCCCTGTGTGTGTGTGTGTGTGCCGTGTGTGTGTGTGTGTGCCCTGTGTGTGTGTGTCTGTGTGTGTGTGTCTCTGTGTGTGTGTGTATGTGTGCCCTGTGTGTGTGTGTGTGTGCCGTGTGTGTGTGTGTGTGCCCTGTGTGTGTGTGTCTGTGTGTGTGTGTCTCTGTGTGTGTGTGTATGTGTGCCCTGTGTGTGTGTGTGTGTGCCGTGTGTGTGTGTGTGTGCCCTGTGTGTGTGTGTCTGTGTGTGTGTGTCTCTGTGTGTGTGTGTATGTGTGCCCTGTGTGTGTGTGTGTGTGCCGTGTGTGTGTGTGTGTGCCCTGTGTGTGTGTGTCTGTGTGTGTGTGTCTCTGTGTGTGTGTGTATGTGTGCCCTGTGTGTGTGTGTGTGTGCCGTGTGTGTGTGTGTGTGCCCTGTGTGTGTGTGTCTGTGTGTGTGTGTCTCTGTGTGTGTGTGTATGTGTGCCCTGTGTGTGTGTGTGTGTGCCGTGTGTGTGTGTGTGTGCCCTGTGTGTGTGTGTCTGTGTGTGTGTGTCTCTGTGTGTGTGTGTGTGTCTGTGTGTGTCTGTGTGTGTGTGTGTGCCCTGTGTGTGCCCTGTGTGTGTCTGTGTGTCTCCGTGTGTGTGTGTGTGTGTGTGTGTCTGTGTCTGTGTGTGTGTGTGTGTGCCGTGTGTGTGTGTGTGTGTGTGCCCTGTGTGTGTGTGTGTGTCTCCGTGTCTGTGTGTGTCTGTGTGTCTCCGTGTGTGCCCTCTGTGTGTCTGTGTGTGTGTGCCCTGTGTGTGCCCTGTGTGTGCCCTGTGTGTGTGTGTGTGTCTCCGTGTGTGTGTGTGACAGGGCTGGGACCAGGCCTGGTGCAGGAGCTCTTTCCAAGGTGTGATTTGAACGTTCTGAAGGTGCGATCCTAGAACACTTGGAGGCTGTTTGCAGAGCTCCGTCTGCAGCTGGAGCTCGCTCCAGTGCAGCAGTCCAGGGGAGGCTCTGGCCTCTCCAGACTTCTCCTCAGGCAGGCTGTGGCTGCTGCTGGCTCAGACTGGCACTGGGGCAGCTTTTCCAGGGAGCTGGAGATCAGCAAGGTGCTCTGGAAAGCAGGGACCTGCAGGGATTGGCTTTAGCAAAGCTGAAATGCAGTTTGTAAAGGTAGCCCAAAATTCGAATTCCTGTGGTTTTTGTGGAGGACAGGAGGACTAGATCAGAAGTGGCTTGTGTTCTAAGAGGGTCTGAGGAGCTGCATCCTACCTGGGGCATGATGTGTGTAACTAAAATGCAGTCCTTGTCCCAGAGGCTGATGGTTTCTGCTCATTGCTGTCCCCAGCACGTTGCCAATCTTGAGGGATCTGCTCTGGTTTCAGCCTGTCCATGCCCTGGTCACTGCAGTCCCAGTGCCTGAGACAGAGACAACCCTGACCAGAGTGGCCAGGGTCACTTAAATAGAAATGAAATGCGCCGAACTTGCTGTGGACAGGAACTACTCTGTGCTTGCTTCAGTTTTAAAATTGTAAGTAAATTCTTGATGCATAATCACTTAATTCTGCCTCTAAAGGGAGAGATTTTCCTCACCCCTATTTACAGATTGTCATATACAAATGCACGTAACTTTATAAAGGAAAATCGGAAGTAAAAACCAACACCCTCTGCTACATTAGATTATTGTTTTCTTGTGGCCATTTATTTTGTGTAAACTTGCCTTTCCCAGCGTGCTTCTGGGTTTCAGCTATTTGGGAATAATTTCAGCTGACTCTTTGCAGTGAAAATATGAAGGTGGGGATGAGTGACCAGTACTGTGGGAAGGGCTGTGGGTGTGCCTGGGTCAGGAGCAAATGGTCAGGGTTTATCTTCTCCTGGTTTGAGGCTGGCTCTGGCAACACCACAACATTCCAAAGCAGACTAATTATTTCCTCCACTGTCACTTGTCCAGGCTCTCTGCATACTGCCACGTCAGTGGATACATCTCAATGCCACAGGGGCTTTCCTCCAAGTAGTGGTAAACCAATTTCAATTTTACAGACCTCTATTGCTGCTGGATTAGCTAAAGGACATGACCTCCCTGTGAAATCAGTTTTTAAACAAAAGGTAAACTTTGAACCTTGGACTACAGCTAAAAGATAAGAGATGCACACTAGATCAATACTTGGCAAATATTAGTCGCATGCCATGGGCAGATACCTGTCTGCTGTACCTCCACATGTTTTAGTGTGCTGGTGCAGCACAGATATTTAAGGGGGTTCTTTACAGAGCACAACCATTAAATAACTTCTAGCTGCTTAAAAGTGGGGTAACATAGTGTAAGTCTAGTAATTACCTTCCTCTGCAGCCCACCTAGAGTTCGGGGAACTGAGGGCCACCTGTTTGCACACATGCAACATTTTCCCTACCACACCAGTCATTTCCTTTGCCCTAGTGCATTACTTCTGTGAACAGCAGCTTTTAAGAAAATTGTCAAGTTTGAAACAGTTCCTCTTCCAAGGCAAGCAAGCAGGTGGTTCACCATCTCCAATTATGTAATAATAATGTAAGTATAAATTGTGCTTCTGTGTTTTATCAATAGCTGGGTACAACACACACATTTTGGACTCAGCATTTCCTGATTGTGTCCATAGGTTAAAAAAAAAAAAGAGAGAGAGAAAAAACAGGAGCATTCAATTCCATTTTTTCACCTTTTTTTAGGGGACTTTGCTATTTGATAGCAAGGCAGGAAACATCTTTCTGTTGCTCCTTTCTGCCTTTGGTTTGTAACAACAGTGCCAAGCCTCTTGCAAGAGTTGGCACATCAGCCAATGTTCTGGGAGTCCAAATCCCCAAGACAAAGGCAGGTGGTGTTACATGCCAGGGAAGCAGCCCAAGAGAAGTCAGTGTTCCTCAGGAACAACCCAGATGTGACAGATGTTCCTGCCCTACACGTGGACAACAGCTCAGAGCCAGGAGCACCCAGAGTGCAGCAGTTTGTGTGCAGTGCAAGGGCTCTAGTAACAACTCCAGCCTGGCAGCCTCCTGGCCCAGGAAAGAACTGCAGTCCAGTAAGAAAATGCAGCTGCCTTGAGGTTGCTTTGTACTCTAAATTCCCAGAGCAACAGAGCTGCTGACGTCCTGTTTGGCAAGGACACTCATGGTGAGATGTCAGCAGCATTGTCATTCCTTCAGCAGCTTTTAGACCTGGAGAAGTTAATCAGGACTTTGATGCAGAGACAAACACTAGAGAGAGGCAGAATTACTGTTTCTAAGCACAAATTTGGACCAGAAATTGAATCTCCACCAATGTGGATTCCTGGAAGCAAGTTTTTACTTCATGTCTCACTTAGGTGAAAATAAAAAACAAACAAAAATAAACCAAAACTGTCCCTACTTCCCTAGGATACCACATTGCCTAAGGATTTTGGGCTGTTCTGTCTAGTGTCTCTCAGGGCTTGAATGCAGACACCAGGAAACTCAGCTCAGAGCCAGTTCCTGCATCTCTGGCCTCTGGTGCCTTCACCTCAAGCATGGTTTGGTAACACACACCCACTATATAGTGATACATTTCTTGTAATCAAATACAGGTTTGTGGAGTACACAAGTCATCTCAATTCACTGTATTTTTACTACCAAGTTGTCATTTATCACGTGGCAAACACAGTCTTCTGTCAGCATCAGCACAAGTACCTAGCTTGGGATTTTTCTTGCTGATGATGAAATCCTATTTCCTCTCCAGGCAGCCACTGGGAGCAGTGCACAGCCGGGCCTGCCTCTGGCAACACTGACAGAACATTCCTTCACAGTCTGCTAGACATCACCTTTCAGAGCTTTCACCCAGCACCACGAGAGAAGAAAGGCACCAAGAAAGTGCCACATTAACTGCTGAGCGCCTTTCAGCTCAGCAGTAGGGAGTCTGCTCGTTTCAGCAGGGCAAGGGACTGCTGGGGATGCAGCCTGGGAGAGGCACGAGGCAAGGCCAGGCCTTCCTGCACCTCCTGTGTGCACACAGGGGCCACCCCAGAGAAGCCAGGACAGTTCTCAGCTTACTAGCATAGCTGTGGAAACTTCTCTGTCAGTAAAGCATAGTTCAGACGTAGCACAGCACCAAAATCATTATTTAGCTGGTACTGGAAATAACGGAGTGCCTTTAGAAAGTACTGGGGGAAAAAAATTACTTAATCCAGCACCGTTACTTCACTAGGTGCTGGATCAGCAACACACATAAGCAATACATAGCAACCCTCACTCAGCTTCTTCCTGTTCTTATGCTCAAACTATGCTATGTAAAGCTGTCTTTTAAAAAAAACCCAACACGAAACCCTCAAGACTTACTGTAAATGAAAGCACAACTTCAAACAGCACTTAAAAAGCAGCATTCATTCAAACTGCCATACTAATGCCAGCTTTCAGGAGTTAAATAAAAATACAGGTACAAATTAAATAGAAACCTTTAAGTTACAATTTCAGCCGAGCTGGAATATTTTGTCAAATGACGCATTTCGGGAAAACTTAATTTGATGAAAAATTCCCAGTTTGGGGTAAAAGTGAGTCAGCCAGTTCTCACAAACCTGTGGCTGCCACTGCCTGACTTCAAGAGAACTCCGTCCCATGCTCCCAACAGATACATTAATCTTTCTGCTTTTCAGCAAAAAGCTGTAATTCACATGGTAAGTGCTGCACTACTACATACTGGGTGAAATCCGGCCCTGCAGAATCCGCCAGGAATTCTCCTGCCAGCAGCGCTGCTGTTTCTGTTAGATTTCCTGCCACTGAGCAGTGCCCAGTGTTCCACCTCTCCAGATCCCTCTGCAAGGCCTCTTGTCCCTCGAGCCCACGGCACCTCCCACTTGAGCATCCTCAGCGAACTGGCTCCTGGTGTGTTGCACTCCTGCACCCAGATCCTGGATACCAGTGCTGAACAGTACGAGCCCTCGGACTGAGGCCCAAGGACTCTGCTGGCAAACCACAGCTCTCCTCTTCCCGTGGCACCTGGCCTGGCTTCCAGAGAGCCAAGAGCAGCGTGCCCTGTCCAGCCAAGCTGGCAACCTACCCCCCAGCCTGGCTTCTGCCTCTCCTGCGCGTGTTTCAATCAAACCTGACCAGCACTCTGGGCCCCCTGACCAGCTCCTCAGGGGACGTGGCCAACTGCTCCCTGGCAGCTTAAATTTGCTCTCTTGAAATGCAGGGCGACAACTCTGCTTTTTGTAACTACACCACAAATTTAAATCCAACCATTTCATGGTCTCTGTGACCAGAGCCATCACTCCTGCCATGAGTCCTCTACTCACAAACCCCTGTGGCACAGCACCTTTCCTAGTTGGCTCGCTGAGCACTTGTGATGAGAAATTATCCTTAACAAACTCCAGGAATTCCCAGGCTGCTTGTCACAGCAGTATGGTACTCATGTCTAGTTAAGTTACTCACTGATCCTCAATTAAAATTGGACTTTATATTCCACTAGCACTCAGGAATGTTCTACTAGCATTTAAGAATTGTGAAACACACATAATCTTGCCACACAACCACTTAGCTTCGAACATGGCCCCAGAGCCTGTTCATTGACCTGGGTAAAGCAGAGCCCTGGCCCACGCCCACAGAGGCTTGAGAGGAATGATAAATGTTTAACATGCTCCAGCTCACATATGTGAAATAGCTCCTACATGCCAGCCATGGGCACACGGTACCTTACTTCAGCAGGCACAGTGGGAACACAAGCGCTGTGCCAGCAGCAGGCAGGTGTCACCACACCACACCACTGTCCCCGCCACCCCCGAGCGAGCACAGCCCGGCTTGGCCCACGGTCACACCCCAGAGATCTCCATCCATCCCCAGCAGCTGTGACCCCTCAGCTCCGGGCCCTCCTGTGCTCCTTCCCAGGCACTGCCGTGCCCGGTGCCACCCGGCCAGCCCGTCTGGGGCACAGAGAGCCCCGGTGCCAGCCTGGGAGCAGCAGCCAGGGCACAGCCAGAGCCGGGCCAGTCTGGGAGCATTCCCAGAGCCCCAGGCACGGCCCATCTGCCCCGCAGCCACACGCTGGCAGGGACCAGGGCCACCCATCCCATGCCAAGGACAGCTCCGCAGCCTGGGCAGTGGGAGAAAGCTCTCACGTAGGCTGGAAAAGCACCAGCTGATATCTGGAGGAAATAACTCACTTCCCGCTGGGGATAAAGGTTCAGATTTGTATATGTGCTGTTCTGGTTTTTTCCAGTCATAATAAACTTCTGAGGAAGAAAACCAAGTTTTCAGGAGTATTCTAGGAACAGCAGGTGAGTTCTAAACTTCAGTTCATACAGAATTAATCCTGCAAGCATTAATTAAAAGTTGGGGCTTTTTGGTAAGCAGAGAGAATAATATCTGAATCCCTGAATAAGCCTTGGAAGCAAATAATGTTGAAATGACTGCAAATTACACAGTTAAAGAGTCTTCACTTGGATATGAAATTCAGTAATTGTTTCTTGATCTTTAAATGGGCACATTCTGTCTCCTATTTAATGAAAATAAAGATTAATTCACTGAGATCACTAAAACAAGAATTGCATGTGTTGAATTGTTCTCCAATACAACAGAAAATTCCAAGAGGCTGGAAAGTGTTTTGTTTTAGAGCCAGCAGAAAGTTTTAGCTTTTAAAAATAAAAACACTCCCGAACAGCAAGCTGATACCAGTGATTCAGCAAAAGAGGGGACCCATACAGCATGAACAGGCTCTACAGTGGCTGTGCCATATAACCCCTGGTGAGACTGATACAGATTGATAGAGCAGGTACCTTTGGTCCAAAAAAATTTACTGAAACACCTTAGCACTATCTCCAAATAAGAATATCAATACATAGATATTTAAAGTGGGCATTTGCTGGAAACCAAACAGAATTTTCCTCCCTTCTCCCTTATTTTGTGTTTCTTTCAAAAAAGGTTACTTTTCACTGTTGGATCTCATTTCTCCGTTAAAAAAAAATTTAAAAAGATATAAAATTAATTGATTTAGCCAGCAAACTAGTTCCTTTCTCAAACACTAATACTACTAACACTGTTAACCAGTAAGAAATGAAACACAGAATGGAATTCTCCAAATAATTTCTCTTTAACTGTATTCTGGCGACACCATTGTGTAACTGGGAAACCTTGTGAGGCTATGGCAATAGATTTCAGGCTCTGGTGAGCTGAACTGTGACTACACGGGCAGGTCGTGCATGCAGTTGCTAGCGGTTAAAGACAGGCAGATGTTTCCTTGCAGAGCTGGGCACTCCTCCCCTCCCCACCCAACAAGAACCGGTGTCCTTTTAAACCCAGCTGGGCCCGGCCAGCCCCGTTAGCCCAGTGACATCTCCGCGGTGTGCGGGACAAAGGCGGACACGGAACAGCAGGTTAGTGACTGTCTGTTTTCACAGCCAGGGAGAGCAGAGCAGAGGCTGCTCTTTGTTCTCTAAAGCCAGCAGACGCGTGCCCCGCAGCTTTGTGGGCAGCCCTGTGGCCGCAGGAGCATTCAGTGCCCGGGGGACGGGGCCAGCAGCTGGCCCCACGGGCAGGAGGTGCCGCAGTCCCGGGGCAGCTCAGGGCCCTGCCCGGAGCCCCCGAGCCCCGCAGCACAGCACGGCCCCTGTCGTGCCAGCTGCAGCCCTTGGCTCCCGGCAGGAGCCAGTGACCTCTGGTGCCAGGGACGGGGACTCCAGCGCTCCCAGTGCTCCTGTGTGTCACGCACGGAAGCTGCACACGCCGGGTACCAACACCACATGGGGCTCTGAAGTGCGGGCACACGAACACGTCAGCCTAGTCCGTGACGCAGGATTTGGGATTACACTTCAGCTAAATACCCTGGGGAGCTCTGTGCCACGGTGCTCAGTGAGCACCGGACAAACCCACTGATTTCCAAGAGCTGATCTGGAAAAAGCCCTGGAACACAGGGAATTGTTCTCTCACAAAAGCTGCTGCCTCACTGTCCTTCTCACTCAAAACTATCTTTGAACACCTAAGGATGTCTGATGCTCAGCACTGCACCAACCTAAGTCTTTACAGACCAGCTGCAGCTGAGCAGCCACAGCCTGCCCCTCAGACCTGTTGGTTTGGATTACCTGAGGGATAGACTGGCAAAAGATAGCAGCTTCTTTTTCTCTGAGGTCTTGAAATCAGGATTTTGTGAAAAAGGCTTCAGGAAACAGGCAGAAGTGTCCATGATCCAGACACCAACACCCCTGATCATCCAGAAGCTGAACCACGAGGCCACCTCTGATTCACTAACCACACCCTGGTTTATTTGTTTTTCCAAGCTATCCTCAGAGAGTATGAAGGTGGTGGCAGACAGGCAAAAAGTTTTCTGGTAATTTCTTTTGATCCAGCACATTTCCCACAGATAATCCTTCTATAAAGCTCACCAAATCTAATACCTGCCAAGGCAAACCATCATGTATTTTAACTGCCAAGTACAGGAACCTCAGTCACCCCATTCCAACCACAAAAAATAGAAGTCCACTTACTTGGCAGTTTTAAGTCTCTCCAGGCAAGTCAGTCTAGAAGAGCAGTCTCAGGAATTCCAGAGCTGTTGTTATCCAGTAAATTTAATATCCAATGCAATGGGTATGCTTCTCCAACTTGGCAAAACCACTTCTGAAGCCCTCACTACACACTGAGAATCGCTTTAGACCAAAAAACCGTCACAAGGTCCCTGAAGCACCCTCACAGCTGATCTTACTCAGGGCTGATTCACTTCCAGCATGCCTGAACACCTTCTACAGCCTGTACTGGACATCAATAATTCTGCTTTCCATTCTTTTGATACATAATGTTGCAGTTCCCAGTGCTAGGTCAGGAATTGCCAATGCTCACTTTATTTTGAGCTCAAGATCTGTATTTCACCCCTTGCTGTTCTGTGTGCAGATTCCCTGCAAAACAGCAACTTGCAGCACCTAAGGGGCTCACAGGAGGAATGAGGAGGAACTTGGGACAAGGGCCTGGACTCACACGACACAGGGAATGGCTTCACACTTGCAGAGGGCAGGATTAGAGGGGATATTGGGAAGAAATTCTCAGCTGTGAGGGTGATGAGGCCCTGGCACAGGATGCCCAGAGAAGCTGTGGCTGCCCCTCCCTGGTAGTGTCCCAGGCCATGTTGGACAGAGCTTGGAGCAACCTGGGACAGTGGAAGACATCCCTGCCCATGAGGGTGGAAAGGAGATGATCTTTCAAGTCCCTGCCCACCCAAACCATTCTGGGATTCTCTAGTTTTGACACACAAACTTCCCAGTTCTCCCTGGCCAGGTAACAGGGGCTCAGGCCTCTGCCCACTGGGAGCAAATCCTTTCTGGAGTATTCTCCAGTCACCAACGCTACAAACATTTTCTTTTAGAAAGACAGTACTTCAACTTTTTCACAAAAGCTACTGCCTCACTTTCCTTCCTACTTCAGTCCTTCTCACTCAAAACTATCTTTGAACACCTAAGGATGTCTGATGCTCAGCACTGCACCAACCTAAGTCTTTACAGACCAGCTGCAGCTGAGCAGCCACAGCCTGCCCCTCAGACCTGTTGGTTTGGATTACCTGAGGGATAGACTGGCAAAAGATAGCAGCTTCTTTTTCTCTGAGGTCTTGAAATCAGGATTTTGTGAAAAAGGCTTCAGTTCAGCAGAGCCATGGCAAACAGGACTGGAATAGCTATGGGAAATGCAATTTCACGGTACATAGGGTGATAAATGAGTTGGTAAAACAGGTTAGACTAAATGTGGAATCTGTGTGAAGTTTCCAGCTAGCAAGGAGAGTGCCTGCAATGTCACTCGAGGGCTCATTCTTCATTTCTTTGTCACCACTATCTCCAAAACATTGCCATCACTGCTGCAGTTTTTCTGTCTAACTGGGCAATTAGGAGCAGATGAATATAGAAAAGGAAAGCCAAGTCCAGCCCATGCCAAGCTGAGGCTACTTGGCTACTTCTGGGCCCTGACTTTAAGCCCTTCTGGTGGCCAGACTAGCTGCAGGGAGCTCCTCCAGTCACCACTGGTCCCGGCAGAACATCGCATGGAGTTATAAAACCACTATAAAAACTTGGCATGATTCTTCAAGGGGCCAAACTGATTTTTTTGCTTTTCTCAAAAGAGCAAAACTAGCACCTGTGTGAGATGCTGACAGGCATCTCCTGGGACACGGGAGCCACACAGGCACTGCTCCTGCAGTGAAAACAACTTAGAGCTGGCTGCAAGCCAAGGGCACCAGGAGCCCTGTGCACGCTGCCCAGCCTCTGTCTCAGACCTGCCCCGGGCCTTGGTGCTGGGGCTGGGCTCATGGAGGGACAAGGGCAGGGCACAGGGCCCTCAGCAGAGCCACCCTCAGCCCTGGGCACAGACTGCGCTAGGGACTGACAGAGTTCAGGTCACCAAAGTCTCTTCAAGTTCCAAGAAGTGGATTGAAACAGAATTTTTACTTGCAGAGACAAAAAATTAATAAAGCTGCTTATCCTCATGCACGGCTCGGGGGACAGGGGACTAACAGAGCTGCAGGTGCTCCCTCAAACCCACCCTAGGGCATCCTTTGCACACTGGTGTGCCCAGCACCCCTGTCTGCAGAGCCAGCAGATCTCCTGGGGGAAGGGGAGTCGCCCTGAGGGACTGGTAAATACACATTTTTCGTGTTAGTCTTTTGTTTACAGCAAAATTGATTAAATTCTGCCCACAACTATTTTGCTGGGGAAGAAGCAACATCATGGAGAATACATTGTCAGCCAGCCCTTACTCTCCTAATCTGAAGATAATTCCCAACCCCTCTCTGTCAGAGGGCGGATGGTTACAGGAAATGCCAGGACGATCCAGAACTGATGTAACGAGTTTGATGATTGGGAAACTCCAATCAATTTCGTTTACTGATCCCCAGCAGAAATCAGAAGAGATCACGGCTTCCAGGTTAAAGACCTTTGCTCAGCTTTCTGCTGCTCTGAGTTAATCTTTCTCTACCCAGCCATCGGAGTGACCAGCACAGGTAATCTTTAACCAGTGGCCATTGACTGACAAGGATCACAGCATTTCTCCTCTGGGATCCGAGCTGTCCCAGCACTTGTAGCCCTTACCTCTGTCCATGAGACTGTGGTAAATATGCCCTTTGAATGCTGCAGTACTCTGGGATAAGCTGACAAACACCACCTTTTGTCTACTCTGAGCCCAAGAATTCCTGTAGCAATGTCCTCTCAGAAATTATATGGCCATATCCAAAATTGAGTCAGCACAATCACTGTCATTAAGAAAGCAAAGGGAGAAATCCAATTCCACTGTTGGATATGTGTAATTTTTCTCCATAAAAGATTCTGGCCTAAATCTTTGACCCAGATTTGTCTGGAAGTTTAAGCTAAGGGAGCCATGTCCACAGCTGGTGGGACAGTGGCAGGATTTTTCCAAAGATAAAATAGCCAGCCCCGGATCAGTTGAAGAGTATTATATGCTGGAGTAAAGCCACAAAGATACAGCTCAGGTTTTTACCCCTGCAGTTATTCCTTCAGTTTTGAAGCTGTTCTTCCACTGTTTCTGCACAGAAAAGATACCATCCCTGTGACTTCCATTTCCCTCAATATATCTTCCACATTATATATAAGATAAATGAGAGGAAAGAGCTTTTGTAGGGATCAAATCGTGTCCTTTGTCTAGTGACACCTTATTCACCAGGAACTCTGCATATAAAATGGAAGCACAGAATGATTTAGGCTGGAAGGGACTTTTGGAGATCACAGGACTGAGTCCTCTGCTCTGAGCATTGGCAGCCTCACAGTTAGACTGCACTACAAAGTTAGACAATTTTGCTTGGAATATTTCCAAGGGAAGAATCTGGCCCTCAGGTCTATCTGCAATGCATGTTGCATTATGTGCCCCTGTGTGACCTTTAGTAACATTTAACCAAACCAGTTCCTTTTCTTTTTCCAGGAATTTCCCAATACTTTGGCATTTCATTTCAGAGAACTGGACCCCAACCAGTCTGCAGCAGTACTGGATGTTGCAATGCAGTTCCAGACTTTCCCCAGGCTCCCTGTGGAGTGACCAGTGCTTCACCTACAGTTGCAGAGCCCCATTTTGAGGGGAACTGGGTTTTTTCCCCCCAAAAAACACAACACACAAATACCAAGTAAGTGGTGTTTCTGCTGTGATTAAAAGTAGCACGTTAGGTTTTTTCTACTACGTGTTTTGGACAACATGTGGCACTTTGGTTTTGGGTTGGTTGTTTTCTTTTTAATGTGAGGTCTTCTTGACCTAATATGGTCCTCTTTTTCTGATTAAGCATATTATCTGATATCTTCTGTAGACTTCAAAAGCACATCCATACTTTCAGAGTAGCGTAACAAGTTTGCACACAGGATGCTGATATAATTGTACAGGTCATTTTTAGATACCTACTTTCCCCAAACCTTGTTCTACTACTAGGGCAGACTCTGAACTAGTAGAAGTGGTATTTTTGTCATCTTTACACTGGATGCGTGTACCAGTCCCAAACAAGGAATTACTATTTACAGAACAGGACTGGGAGTAGAAATCAGCATTTCAGGAAACAGTAGATTATTCTTGCCATGACAGATCTGCAGTCCAAGACAGTGTTAAGCAAAAAAAGATGTGTCATCAACTGGTAACAAAGACGGTGTGAGGAGGAGAGAACAAGACACAGAATGTTCTCCAAATTTGGTTTCATGGTGGTTTTCTGCTGCTGGATGGACACGTCCAGCTAAAATCAGTAAAATTACCTGGTTCCTCACTTTTGTGAAGTATTTATATTGAAAACTTTGCTTTCTAAACCCCCAAAATACTACTTCAGATTTTTCCAAAACGTTCTAACGGAACAGAAGTATGGTAATGAAAGTAAGCAATGAAGCACCTGTTAGTTAACTAGCAAATGTTCTCATATCCAAAATGTGCTTTACTTTATGTTCAGAGAAAATCTCAGGTTCAAATCCTATTTTAGCCTTCACAAAAAAAAGTGAAATTCATCAGGCCCTAAACTGGAGGTTTATGCAATGGTCTCGTTGTTGAATGAGGTCCTGGGAGGTGTGTACCATTCCTGGGTTTGCCAGTGGTGTTCAGACAGGCTCAACTGAAGCCAGGCTTTCCCCCCTACCTCCTAGGTGTGCTGGAAAAAGTAAAACCTGAACATTACCAAGAAAAGTAGACAGTACATCAAAATCTAAGAAAGAAAAAAGATTGGCAAGCCTCAGCAGTGAACATGAGATGAGCACTGAGGAACTGATGAAATCAGTCTCACTGGCAGAAGTAAGCAATTAATATGCAGCCAGAGTAAACACTCTTCATCTCAGGGTTCAGCAAAACAAAGAGCTGAAACCCCCTTATCTTTTGCATTTTTCCCTCCCCACCTGTGTTCTCTGAAGGAACAGAGAAAATTGAAGTCTCAGAGCTTTTTTCCATTCTTTAGTCTGACTAAAGGTGACTCCAGCTCAGTGCAGCAAGGGTCATCTCCCTCCCCCAGATCAATATTTTAATATGACTTATCAGAGCAAGAATGAATTGTTTACTTTGAAACCTCAGGATCCCATAAAGGGAGAGGGAAAGGTGTCCACTGGAAGCAGAGGCTTGCAGCAGCTGCCCACTGCTGGGAACTCAGAAAAGAAACCAGGACTCCAAAGATTCGAGTCCAGACAGTCAGCAAAATGTCCTGCGAGAGAATCCCAGTTCTGCCAAGCCCTAACAACACACCAGAGGATCCTTTGGCTGCTGTCTCCGATGGTAAGTGCCTTCCTAAGCAAAATTTATGTGAGGAAAAGGAAATGCTAAAAGAGATTAACAAAAGTAAAATAGTGCAGATGGATTTCCAACTAAGCACTTCAGCGTACTAAAATATCCACACATACCCAGGGCTCAACTGTGTAATTTAACAGGATTTAATGTCTTGGACCTAGGGATCTCTGCCTGCACTTGGAAAGAGATTAGGCTTTTGTTAGGGTAGTGCAAACCACCCTGTTGATTGTTTTTAAGAAATGGTGTGGTGGGGAAGCTGACAGACTTTCCGGGGGACCAAGAATGCTTCCAGGTCTGGCCTTGTGGGAAGGACAGGTTCTGTGCCCCATCTCAAAAAACTCTCTTGAAAACCCATTTTTCTTCACAATGCTCCTCTGCACTGGAACATCTCAACGATGTTCTTTACACAAATGCCCAGCAGAAGAGAAGCAAAAAGGGGATTTTTCTCTCATGTTCATGCTTTGCTTTCTCCCTGTAACTTTCCCATTATTTTGGTTTTTTTTTTTCCCCTTGTAGTACTAAAACCTAGTGGCCATTTCTCTTTCTTGCATGATATTTTGTCATGGAAATATTCCTGTTGATTTGCTGGAAGCTTCCACATAGCTGAGGGACTAAAAATTGCCTGTTACAGTGGCATCAGCTGCCTTGCTTTCTCCTTACGTGTTCTGCAGTGAAGTCAAGTCCTTCTGCCAGGATTTCTGGGCTTTCCTGCACTGCACAGGATTGCCAGGCTTTTCTTCAGGGAGCTTCATTAGTAGGAATTTGCATGATCCTTCCCCTCTGCAGCAGAGAGAAAGCTGAGTAAAATGTGTATGAGGAAAGGTAAGGGAAGACACCAACACTGAGGTGAACTAAAAAGCCAGGTACAGCACCTCTGTCCCTTTGGCATTCATTTCTCACTCTCCCCAGCTGCAGCATAGGCACTTTTACCAAAACCAGCCCCGTGGACCTCGGGGCACAGCTGCATCCTTACCGACAGAATGTTCTGGCACGACTGGGTTTTTGCCATGATTAATTCCAAAGACTCAATGCCATGTGATGCTCAGGGTGTGCTGCAGCTCATCTCCTTTTTCAGAGATGTCTCCTTCATAGCTGGGACTGCATAGGAGCCTGACCTGTGGATCTGCACATCTGCCTGTTTTGTGTGTGTGTTCAAACGCTCAGCTCTGTCCCATGGCAGCACTACAGACTCAAAACGCAGACAGAACCAGTGGGACATGAGAATCCCTTGGATGTCAGCCACGCCCGAGCATTTCTAGGTTTGCTTTTGTGGCAGGGATGGGAATGCCAGAATATTACTGTTGTAGTAATCACACTGGAGAAATGAAACAGCCTGATCTGGTAGTCAAACACTGAAGGTCCATTTCTCTGCTGGTCTGTCCACCAGCAAAGGGCACTCAGAACCCAGCTTCTACTGACAGCTTGTGGCTCTGAATTATCACAAACCCTTCCCTGAGGTCCCTGATGTAAATGAAGAATTAAACCGATCCAGAGCCCTACTAAGTCTGCCCTGACCTATCAACACTGGATGAACTATGTTACAATTGGGAAGAAGATGCAGGTAGGATATAAAGTTAGATCACAGGGTGAGGAGACCCTTGGTACACTGTGAAGAGCAGGCTGGTGGTGCAGTTGTGTCAGTACAGGTGGGCAGCAGCTCATCTGGGTGCCTTGGCATCACCTCTGTGCAGGCACTTCAACATTTGATGCTGTAGAATTGAGTGGGCTGATTTGTGAGCACTGTGCTCCCTTCACAAAAAAGGACTGCTGAGAAGGCTAAATCCAGGGAGGAGTTCTCAGAGGATGAGCCTTTTGAGAGCTTTAACTTCCTTAATACTCTATTGCTAAAGCAGAACCAGATCCAGAAGACTGTTGGAGAGTCTGGCTTTACTACACATGAGGAGCAAATTCTCCACAGCATGTAAAATGGGAATGCATTTCTGAGCTTAAAAATAAGTGAGAGGGGAGTTGAAAAGCACTACAGCAAGACATCCCATTCTCACCTTTTGGCACAAAAAGACAACTGCATCCCCTCCCAAGAGGCTTCCAACCAGTCCACAGGGGATCCTCTTTTGAGCCAGAAAGTTCAAATTTCAGTACTTAGAAAAAAAAAAGGCTACTGCTGTTCACCCCAGCCCTGGTTTCTAACCTCCCCCCTTCCATGTGCTCCTCCTTCTCTGTTTTCTCTGCCTCTCTGCACAATTCAGATGTGGTGATGGCATATAACTGAACTTCCATGGATTACAAATCCACATGTTTGCGTGCTCTTAATCCACTCCTTAGTCCACATAATCTGTTATGGGATGTTTTCTGCTCTCAGACTGAGAGTGTGGTGAAATGTTATTCAGCTAGCAGGCCAAACACACAGAGAAACACTCTGAAACACCCAGCCTGTGCAGCTGGGTGTTTCAGCCTCTGAAACACCACAGCTATGGACCCCAGAGCTTAATTCCCTGATGCACAGGTGCTGATGTGACCCAGAAGAACATTATGGAATAGCACAGGGGCAGTGGGACCAGGACTACAGACCAACTTGGCTATCTTGTATGTGGGCTACTCAAAAATGCTGCTAAAAACAAGTATATGAAGATCAAATATAATCCCCAGCATTGTGATTCCTCAGGTCTGACATAGCTATAAAAGTCTGATGCTGATTCTGAGCTGACTACCACTTAGAGGAAGACACAGGCCCTTGCAGAAATTAGTCATCCCTCTCCTCAGGAATTTGCCTCTAGAATAGTACAGATTACTTTCTCAGGTGCTGTCCATCTCCCTTGTCTGTAAGGGCACTCAAAGCCACTTAGCTTTTACATTCCCACAGCTAGCAGAGACACACTATTCACCTCAAACCAATTCAGGACCCTGTGTCCCGCCTCCTTGTGAGGACCCTGATGTGCCACATATAAATATGCACAAACCTGGTCTTGTGTCTGTTTTGCAGGTCTTTGAAACCCCCCCTGCTGAAGTCTGCAGTGTGCCTCCATCACTGCTTCCACAGGCTAAGGACCTGCTCCCAGAGCTGTGGAGTGTGACAATGGTGTTTGTGTCCAGTCTATCAAACGCCATTATCACACTAAATAGTTCCTGGCAGACAAGGCATCGGGTCAGGAAGGTTTGGGACCTCTGGCAGTACATCTTCCCACTGTGCTGAGAAATAAACAACTGTGGTACGTGCACAACAGGATGACTCTGTTCCTTCTTTCGGAGGCAAAAGCACCAGAGTATGTGAGAAATCCATACTCTCCCACATGCACTTCCAGATCCCCCTGTAAAGCACATCAGACATCTTAAGGAATCATCACTATATTGTCATCATTAGGAATGTGGATTTCTTTGGCATTAATAGGGCTATGTTTACCTCTGAGAGGTCAGCTTGTGATTTTCATTGAACTGACCAGGACAATAAAACTGAAGGCAATTAGCCAATAGAGTGAAACACCATCTCTGACTTTGGGACCAAACTACAACATACATTTGGAATATTAATTGGTTGAGATGCTCATGGCATTTTTCAAACAGAACACTTCCCAAAATTCTGGTAAAAACCTGTTGCCTCTACCTTGAAACACCATTTATCCAATGCTTTTAGCTTTGTTCCTGTCCCACCATGCTCAAGCCCCTTGCCTTATGTTCTAAACCTCCTGTTTTGGGAACAGTCACAACGTCCTCACAGAAATTCTTCTGAATATTATTGTAAAGAATAGGCATCATCTGTGGGAACTTCCAAAAGCCAGGTACCAGCAGTGCACTGCGAAGCCTAAATCACACTGAACAGTCCAAGATTTAGGCTCAAAGGATGTTTGCTCTGATTTGCAATGGAAGTGGTAACTTTAATATTTATCAGTGTGTTCCAAACTTCACCTTTCCTGACTTTTAGTTCCAAGTAACCCAGCATGCATATGCATATGCAATACTGTGCAAAACTTCTTAAATATATTGATGTTTCCATAGCAGCTGAACCACAGGGCCATGGATGTAGACACAGAGATCTTCTTCTCCAATACCAGTCCACAGAAGCCTGTAAGGAAATCCAGGAGATGGCTTAGTTTGTTTTCAAAACCTTGCCCCAATGTTAAATCTCAGGCACCAAGAGCAGAGGATCAGCTCCTTCCTTTGTTGCTGGCATCAGCATCAGGATGATTACAGTGCAATGTCAAAAGGCAAAAGACTAAAGTTATCCCCTCAGGTCACCGGTGCGTGTCACTGCTCCATGTCCTCAAGAGTAGTTTCACAAGGTGGGATAGTGAGACTCAGTGTTCTGAAGAAATGAAGTCTCTAGGTTCTCTTGCCTTCTTGGGCATCATTTTCTTTACTGTTGATGAGTTTGGCAGATTTTTGCTTTTAGTGGGTGTTGCTTTCCTCTGTTTTTGATGAGTGGTTCGGAGAGATTTCAGCCCCAGCATCTCACAGTACTCATTGCACTGGTGGAGGGCTCTGAACTGCTCAATGAAGGAATAGGAGCAGTTGCCTTTAAACCCCTTGTATCTGTAGTAACACAGGGAAAAAAACAAAACCAAATGGGAATTCAAGATTCATTTTCAGCACAGGGAGGCAGAGTATGACTGCTGACTCATAAGCAACTTGAAAACATTAAGCAAGTCTCTTCTACCCATGCTGGCTTGAGAAGCATCGACTGCCACAGAAACTCAGACTGGGTCATTGGGAGGTGAGAGGAGCCAGGTAACAAGTGGTGATGGAAGAGGGAAAAGCATTAGACGCAAAGCTCTGTGGGCTGGGTCCTGGCACTGTCTTTCATGGCATTAGGTTGGGAATAAAATTGTCTGCTGGCTATCTTTCTCAGTAGCAGACACATGAAATCCATGCTGAACAGTTCTGTTGGCCACCATGAAGAAACAAGGTTGTTGCACAAGGTGTGTCAGAACTAGAAGCTGTTTCCACCTAAACAGGTACATCATGTCCATGCTATGCTGCTCCCCTCCCCTGGCTGCCTACAGGGTCTCAAGGAGCCAAGCCCCCCAGGGAACATGGAAGGAATGTTCCTGAGAAAGGCAGTCTCATCCAGCCTCCACTGTACCTCCCACCATGAGAAGTACAGGGCACATGTATCCCTCTTCTCACTGTGCCTCTGGATGCTGACAGTCCTCCCAGGGCCTGCTTTTTAAACTGCATCAGCTTATTTTAAAAGGTGCACCTGCTCTCCAAAGGATCCTTTTTGGTTAAATTCTCAGGATGGAGAAGGGAAAAGAAAGGCCAGAGCCAGGCCTCTCCTTTTTTAACTTTAATCAGTGCCTATTCTACCCTGTTCTCTTGGTTTGCTGGACATCCAGTGTCCTCATAGGTGAACTGTGAGTTGTGACTACACAAAACCAACCAGCCAAGATTTGGTTCTGAAATGAACAGAGGATGTTCATTCCCAGCATGCAGAGAAGAAGTCTTCCTCAGGAAGCCTGTGCAGTGCTAAAGAGAATACTGCTGCTCTGAGAAGGTCAGGCTCCTGCTGACAGACAGACCCTGCTCCGGAGACACTACTCAGCTGGCTCTGAGCAGCAGGTGAACCTCAAAGGGATTTTCCCCTCCTCTCCAAGTAAACTGTGTGTTTGTTTAACCAAAGCAGGTTGAAGAGGCATGTCATTGTTACCCCAAGTCTATAACCTGGAGTCCAGCAGAGTCAATGGTTCTCTTGTTCCCTTGGAGAAGTCAGAGACTTCAGACATTACTGAGCTGCTCTCAAGAGCTCACATTTATGTATTGTGTTGGTGGATGCACCAGACACACCCACAGGAATTCCACAGGCAAACACACCTGCCCTCAGCAAGGGAATTTCTTCTATCCAGAACCAAACCAAACCAAATCCTCCTTAAATCTGAAGGGGAAATGTTGGATTTGCCCTCAGGCTTAAACTCCCCAATGCCTCTTGTTACCATGTGGAGTAAAGCTAAACTTGTCAGTGCCCTGGAACCAGGCAGAGTTTCAGATCCAGACTTGGCAACCAGCACTCCAGTTAATGAGCATAAGTGTGGTTACCGTGCTCCTGATTCCCTCCTTTGTGTGCCCCATTCCTGGATCAGTCCCTGGGCCCTCAGGCACACTGCGTGCACAGAGCCAGGCACTGTGCTGCGCTATTTCCATTCGCCGGAGAAGCTACAGAGTAGCTGATTTTAAGGCTCAGGAGCGGCACTGTGGCCGCATTAAAAATGCTTCCCTGGCATTCCTGTTCCTAGATCCACTTCGCCCTCTCCTGACAGAACTGCAGTGCAGCTCCTGCAGCACATTCACCACACCACTGCTTTGGGCTCCTCTGCTTTCCAGTTCCCTGGCAAAACACACAGAGCAAGGACAAAAGATCCAAATTCCTTCCTCCACACATCACGGACTGTTTTGGAGTACAAAGAGATCTGTTCTGTGTCCCTTCTGCCAGCACAGTTCAAGCCACACCAGTCCCACTCTGCATTTCTGGCTCAGTAGAACCATGTCTTCTCCCTTCATGGGACCAGGTTAGCTCTCAGCAGCTTGGCTGAACATAGCCCAAAGCAGCAAGACTCAGCAACACACAGGAGTTCTGGGCACTGAGTTGATTTTCCCCACCCATGTTCACAGAATTAAAAATCCAACTGCAGACATTAATATAGAGATCTTCTTTCCAGGAAAGGAGCACGAAAACAAAATACAGGATGAGGAAAAATCTGTCATCTTGCAGGAATACCATTAGCTAAATAACTAACAAAATGATATTCAACATTTTCAGGAGGTTGTTCATTTAGGGAAATTATTTTCCTTTCTATATGCCTGAGCTGATCCTTACTACAGCTTGCATTGTGTGCTCACTTCCTCCTCCCCAACACAATGTATGTTTTTATAGGAATCATTTCCCACAGTGAGCTGGACAACATTCACTGAAGCATTTTTATAAATCTTCTGATTCCTGAGAACAGTGTTGCCTAAATAAAACATTTATTACTTATTTGGTTTGTAACAGGATGATGTACATTCATTTCAACTGCTTTACTTTGGATCCACAGCTGCAAGAGTAAATCAGTAAATCAGTCTAACTGAATGGATGCCAGCCTGCAAATGTTCAAGATTCTCCCAGAATATTCTAGAGTCACATTTTTAATAATTTAGATGATATTGTGAAGTTTCTTGTTGTATCCCAGGTATACAGACAAGGTCCAATTTAGAATAAAGGCTGAACACATGACCAGATCTTCTTTCTCCTTCCAGATTCTCAAAGCAGAACATGAAATTAAAGCACTTACCCCCATCCCCTTTCCCTGGCCACTGCCTAAGCCTATCCAAAACTCTGCTGGCCCATGTTATACCTAGAAGCCTTAATTAACTTAAGAGAAGTGGACTAAAGTTAGAATATTACAGGCCTACGTCTTTACACATACACTTAACTTTCCCTAAAAGAGCTGAAGCCTTTGCAACACCACTAGAAAACAGGCTCTAGCAATGTCCTGAATAATCTTTTGTTAAGGCTCAGAACTGCTGTTTTTGAGAGAGAAAGGGGAGAGATACCATCAAATCCCTTCACAATTGTCCTTGTTTATCAGGGAAGTGGCCAATACACAGCATCCCACTGAGAAGTGTCTTTATAAAGCTTGTGTCCCAAATACATAGCCCAAAGCTCTGGCGTTTCTGCTGGCTGCAGGAGGGATTCCAGGTTGCCTTTACCCCGGACTGCAGCCAGTGCCGGCCCCGTGTGTTCAGCCCTACCTTCCTCCAGCTGATGGAGGAGCCTCACCTGCTGTCACCAGAACCCTTCATGTCACTTGTGAAATGCCCTTTGGACAAGGCTGTTTCAAGGGAGGCATGCAGGAAAAACAAAGCTCAATGTACAGGGTAGCCCCATTCTTTCATAACAAAATAAAAGTGTTTCCTCTACAGGCAGGTTTCCATAAATATGAACACGAAGAAGTTAAAACACTTAGATAAGGACTGTTTTCCTCCTTAGAAGAAATTCATTAGCAAGAATGAATTTCCAGTGCACCCTCCCCCATCCACATTGAACTGTGAAGAGACAGAGGAGTAAAGCACAACCATGCTGCTGAGAAATCACGTTCACTCACCCTTTGGCCAGGGTTGCTATGCCAACATCCGTTAACTTCATCCCTACACCTGCAAGGCAGCAAGGAAAGCACAGAGCTGAGCTTACACTGGAATTTCTAGGACAATATTCACATATGGAAGCATTGAATATTATTTATCGAGTCACCTT